AATTTTAAGCTTGTGAACCATTTATTTCTATAATTCACCATTTAATATTTCAGCACGTGTAACCGAAATCATGGAAAGTGAAACTTCAAATAACAGGCACTACTGTATGTGACATTCAGGAAAAGACAAATCCATAGGGACAGCAAACAGTCCTGCTGTTTCAAGCAGAGGGTGCAGGAGAGTGACCAAGCAGAGCGTGGAGAACTGCTTTGCACAGTGCAAATACACTGAACCCATAGGATACATAAGATCAAACGGAAGCTCAAGTGAAAGCCATGACTTTGAACAACAGTTTGTCAATGCAGGTTCGTTAGTATTGACACACGGATTGCACAAAAGCAAGATGTTGATCATTGGGGAAGCTATAAGGGAGGTGGGTAAGGTGAGAGAATGCTTGGATAGGAAGTTTCTGTACTTTCCCCTCAATTTTTTCTCTTAACCTACACAACTTTAAAAACAGACTGCTAGTAAAAAGTAAATAAATAGAAATACAAAATGTAAAAACTCTATAATGATACACCATTTATCACTGTTAAAATGCCAAAATTATACATGATCAATTGTATCATTATTCGCTAGAACATGGAAAACCTGGATTGCTAGTAACTTGTACAATGATAATTTTATATCTACTAGAATGGACAAAACCAACAAGATTGATTCTACATGATTTTTGAAGGTGGCTGAGTGTCTGGAATTCTATACTTCCCGACAGAGTGCAACCTAGTCTGACATAGCCATGGCAAAGAGTTGGAGTTTCTGAGACACCTATCTAACCTGTGACCCAGCCGTTCAACGCTTAGGCATTTATCTAAGATAAATGAAAGCATATGTTGAAAAAAAAAGACTTGTAAAAGAATTTTAACATAGTTGTTTTTCATAATAGCACCATTTTCTAAATAACACAAATGTCATGGAGTAATAAAAAAAAATTGAAGTAATAAAGATTGCAAAATATCTCCCATCATTAAAAAATAACATGTTTATATCTCAAAAAAATAATCACATTGAACAAAGAAATCCAGAAAAGCACCATATAGCAAACAGATTTTATTTTGTAAAGTTCAAGAAGAAGAAAAAATAAATCTACGTTGAGAGAAAGAACACGTTTGCTTTTGAAGGCAGAAAAATCTACTAGAAAGAGGTACATGGGGGCTGTTTTCAATAAAGAAAATGATGTTTGTCTTGTTCAAGTGTTGGATACTTGGTGACAAAACTCATTAAGCACAGCACTTCAAATACGTGCATTTAATGGTAAATGAGTCATATCTAACATTTTAAAAGGCTTCTGCAGCACCTCTGTACCGGTTAAGAATGTTGGCTCTGTCAACAGCTAGATTGAGCTTTAGATCTGGATTCTAATATGCACTTCCAGGAAAAGATAAGTTAATTAACCTCCTGAGCTTCAGCCTCTTATGTATACATTGAGAACAAACACTTGCGGGTTTCGTTAGGAATTAACAAGTTGTGTACATAAAGTTCTTGGGGAAGAATTTTATTGGATTAAGCATTTTTAATAATTACTACTGGCTTTAATAACCTTGTAATTTTTTCAAATATCTTTTACTTCAGATATACCTTCTACTTTTTTTTTTCCTGTTCAATCCATTTGAAGACTCATGAGTCCTCCACAGCTTCACATTTTGTTTTCAATTCCTCTGTTTGCAGCACAGCCCTCCAGGCCCTTGTCTCAAGCAGGAACAGGTACTCAGCAATTTGCAACAATACGAGTTTTAAATAATACAGCAATAACGCCATATTGCACTAACAATACCATATTAGTGTCCCTTAGCGATTAATAATGAGAATTTACATCAAATCATCAAATTTTTCTTTGGGCCTTCATATACAACACAGGACTGGAAAATTAATAAGTGCTTAATGAAAGCATTTCACTTTAAAAATATTATAGAACTTGTGAAAATTGTTACTGATCATTTTAATAATTTATGAACATTTACACCAACTCTAGCATCTACAGAGCAGTGAAACACAGGCTGCTCTGATGCTAATCCCACAGGTTCACTCACCAGCCCCTTACTGAGCACTCTATATGAGCCAGGGACTCAGGAATAAGCAATGCTCCTTATTCAATGGGTTTCCTACACCGACTGTAGCTCAGCTTCCCACATTTTTTTTTTTTTTTACATTTCTGTTATATATTTACATAAGTCACCAAAAGTCCATTCTAATTAGACAGACATATGCCAACATTCACAGCTGTTTCATATTTGTTTCTCTTTGTTTTCCACTTCAAATTTTCAAGCTGTTTCATTAGGGAAATAAGAGAAGAAAACCTGGACGCACTGTTGGTTCAGTGGTGTTAAGAGAAAGAACATGCCAGAAGGAAAATGGGAATCTCCTGAGAAAAAGGATTGAAAGAGAGTTCGTTTAGCTGTGTGGTCTAAATATTTTACTCATCCTCAGGAAAATAGTGCATTTTCTTCTTTTCAGAATGATCCGTTTACACAAAAGGGCTGTACACTCTTGGATTCCGCAGGTGTTGGAGTAAATATTTTGTTAAGATCTCATTTGAATCCCCAAATGAAGAAACTGACTATTTAAAATAGGCAGATGTATTTTCAAAGTGATGTGTCCAGATATGGATATTCCCCTGGATGCTGAATCCTCAATTTTTCTTCTACTAATTACAGAATGTTACCAAAAGGGTAACAAATGAAGGTTGTTCATACATTTGCTATCCATTTTAATTACACTTACATGTATTCTCCCTGGTGTGTAATTCCTACTTCTTTCCTTTGGGCTTCCTTCAGTAACACCTATTAACGTAAAACGGGGCTCTTTGCACAGAATGGACTTGATGTTACACCACTATTCACGTGGCTCCGACACCGGGGAGAATCACCAGTTCCTATCAGAAGCCACTTACTGGGTGAGATGTCTCACAGCACAGCTGACTAAATGTTCCTCCAGTCGTAATTTTGAAAGAATTAAGTGGATGGTTGGTGGGACAACTTAAATCTCTCATGTTTGTCCAAGTTTGAATTATAGTAAGAAACATGCTTGAGCAGAAGTAGTAAGCTCCAAGTTGAAACAACTCTTTGAAAACTATCGTCTGGCAATAATTATTATCTAGTAGAGTGCATATTAGGAGAGCAAGAGGGATAGATATTATAGAATTTGGACCTCTGAAGTGTTTTTAAACCCCTATGAATGAGGAAAATCCTATACTCAACTGTCTGATCGTGGTGGTTTCTATCCTATAAAAGTAGCTTTTCTTCACCCCAAATTTTACACCTTCCCTAAAGAAACACAGGAGGGACATGACATCAGGCACCCTGGGGAAAAAAAAAAAAAACCTACCTTTAATTTTTGAAGGGTAGAAATCAGGAAAAAAAAAAAAAAAAAAACCTCACCCTGAACTTCTGCTCCCATGACACACCCTCACTGGAAAGTACGTGTGTGAGCCTTCACTTGAGTGCCCAAGACACCAAATTTTGAGAACATGTGCACAGGGCACTTAAAAGCAATGGGGCATCACCTTTTTCATCCTCTTCTGCCCCCTTGTGGCACCTCTTCCCTCACTCCGTACTTCTGCCCTAGGCTGCAAATGGTTCTTGATACAACTATTTACTTCTCTATACATTTCCAGAAAACTGCCCAACTATCACTCCACTTTGCCACACGTAGGTCAATGTTGGTTTTTAATCTTGTCTGCCTTATCTGCTAATACATCAATGATCTCATTTTTAGACTGATTTTGTCAGAGTGCAGATTTCCCCCGACGTCTTCTATTTTATTCTTTATTTGCTTTTCCTACAAAACGACTTTGGAGCTGATTGTTCACATATTCGATTGCTGTTTATAGCATTTTGTTTTTTTCTTTGGTTTTGGTTTTTAAACCTTCTTTCTTGCCCTGCAACTGACAAACATCAACCACCAAGTGGCTCCACCCCATTCCCTCACCTAAGACATTCCACAGGCAGTTTCCCCCTCTGGCAAAAAAATGCCCTCTTTCAGACATTTCTGGCACAGCCTACTTCCTGGGGTTTCTTTCCTTCTCTTACTGCTCTGCCATCCCTGTTCTCCGTTTGCCCCTCAACTACCTGGATTTTCTTGAAGTCGTGTGGCCGGGAGTTCCACTCTGAATACTCTTCTGCAAGCACATGAACTCCCGCGGCTCTGTTCTCAGAAGGAACAGGCAAACCCCACACACAACTGCTGTCTTCTGAACCCCAACCTGGAACATAGGATTGTGTTCTGGGGCGGGGGTCTGTCGTGGGCTGTCCCCACATGGCTGCAAGTGCCCTGAGTCCCAGTCATTACTCATCAATCACTCTTCCCGCTTAGCATTCTTAGTCAAGAAAGCCATCTCAGCAACTCCCCACTTTTCCAAGTCAGAGAAACCTGCGTGCCTTTTCCCTTGCTTTTCCTCTATCTACCTCCACCTGCAAGTGAAGCCTTAGACTAGCGGGAAGGGGCGGCAAGAAGTTCGTGGACAAAAAGCAACGAAAGAATCTTCCGCGAACTTTTTGAAGCCCTCTGCTACAGCCCCGCAATCTCTCTTACGTAAATGGGCTTCGCCTCTGAGCTCAGACCACACCATCTCCCCCCTTTTTGGACATCTTCCATGTCGCCAGTGGTCTGCTCCCACCTCACATTGCAGTCCTGGGATTTTTTCTAAAACACAGGTCTACCCCTGTCCCTCCCCTGTGAAAACTTATGCCTGTGGAGCCTGACCGGGCTGCATTCGGGGACTGGACAGAGCCAGAAGGGATCTTGTGTCCGCCAGGGCTTTGGTAGACGCCCCTCTGCACTATCCACTTGTGGTGGTCGGGGGCGGGGAAGGGGCGGGATTGAGCCCCCCTTCCCCCCTCCTCCTTACTGCGGAAAGCTGCAGAGCGAGCAGCACTCACTTCCTATTCAGCATTCAGCAGGGAGGGAGCCTCAGAACAGCCACGTAGGCATTCTCGTCTCTCAGGAGGAAAAGGCCCAGCAGCTGTCGGAGAAGAAGACGCACCAGCTATCAGCACAGGGACATGTCGCAGCTAAGTAAGAATCTGGGTGATTCGAGTCCTCCAGCGGAGGCCCCGAAGCCGCCTGTCTATAGCCGCCCCACGGTTCTCATGCGGGCCCCACCTGCTTCCTCCCGGGCTCCTCCAGTCCCTTGGGATCCACCTCCAATTGACTTGCAGGCTTCCCTGGCCGCTTGGCAGGCACCTCAACCTGCCTGGGAAGCCCCGCAGGGCCAGCTGCCGCCTGCGGTGCCTCCTCCGGTGGCTCCGATGGCTCAACCTCCGACCCTGGGGGGCCCGCTGGTCCAGGCTCCTCCGCTGGGGGCCCCGATGGGCAAGCCTCCGACTCCCGGAGTGCTGATGGTGCATCCGCCCCCTCCAGGAGCTCCGATGCCCCAGCCTCCAACTCCTGGAGTCCTGATGGTGCATCCTGCTCCCGGAGCCCCTATGTCCCACCCGCCTCCTCCTCCACCTCCTCCTCCTCCTGGTACCCCAATGTCCCACCCTCCCCCTCCGGGCACCCCGATGGCCCACCCTCCTCCTCCTCCGGTGACTCCGATGGTGCATCCTCCCCCACCGGGGACCCCGATGGCACACCCTCCTCCTCCACCACCTCCTCCTCCTCCTCCGGGGACACCGATGGCCCATCCTCCGCCTCCGGGGACGCCGATGGCTCATCCTCCACTTCCCGGAACACCGATGGCCCAGCCTCCAGCTCCAGGCGTCCTGATGGCCCAGCCTCTGACTCCAGGAGTCCTGATGGTCCAGCCTCCTGCGCCGGCCCCGATGGTCCAGCCACCACCTCCAGCGGCCTTGATGACCCAGCCACCACCTGCAGGAGCTCCGATGACCAAGCCTCCAGGTCCTGGCGTCCTGATGCTACATCCTCCAGGTGCGAGAGCTCCAATCGCCCAGCCTGCAGCCTCAGGAGCTCCCATGGTGCAGCCAGTGCCCCCCCCTGCACAACCTGTGGCTACCTGGGCTCCACAGGCTCAGCCTTTGATCCTGCAAATCCAATCTCAGGTTATCAGAGCCCCTCCACAGGTTTCTCAGGGCCCACAGGCTCCCCCAGCGCAGCTGGCCACACCCCCAGGCTGGCAAGCCACCTCCGCGGGATGGCAGGCACCTCCGCAGGGCTGGCAGGCCACACCTTTGACCTGGCAGGCCACACAGGTCACCTGGCAGGCTCCAGCAATTGCCTGGCAGGCACCACCTGTTCGCCAGGGGCCCCCACCCATCCGCCCGGGGCCCCCACCCATCCGCCCGGGCCCCCCACCTGTGCGCCAAGGCCTGCCCATGGTCCGTCCAGCCCCGCCTGTGATTCGTCAGGCACCACCTTTGATCCGTCAGGGGCCACCGCCCATCCGACCTGCCCCCCAGATCCTGGCCACCCAGCCACAGCTCTGGCAAGCCCTGCCACCCCCACCTCCGCTGAGGCAGGCCCCGCAGGCTCGGCTGCCAACCCCACAGGTGCAGGCAGCACCCCAGGTGCCTACAGCCCCACCAGCTACACAGGTACCCGCAGTGGCACCCGCTGGCCTGCAGGTGCCCCAGGGAGTGCTGACAGGCCCGCTGTCCGTCCCGCCGACGGTACAGCAGGCTGTGCACTGCCCGTCCATCATCTGGCAGGCCCCCAAGGGCCAAACTCCGGTGCCACAGGAGCTGCCATCGTCGTTGGAGTTCCAGGAGGTACAGCCGGGACAGGCGGTGGTCTGGCAGGCGCCGAAGCCTCCCACACATTTCTGGCAGCCCCTGCCCACCCAGGAGGTCCAGGGTCAGCCCCCCAGGATCGTCCAGCTGGAGCAGCCCTTTCAGGGAGTCCCGGCCTCCCAGAAAGCACTCCAAATCCAGCTACCCCCCCAGCAGGCCCAGCCTTCGGGGCCGCAGGCAGAGCTGCCTGCAGTGCAACTGCAGCCATCCTGGCAAGCCCCACCGACAGCCGTGCAGGCCCAGCCAGGAGCCCCAATAGCGGGGTCAAATTTTCACGGGGGCTCCACTAAATCACTGATGACTCCTTCAGGAGAGTGCAGGGCCTCTTCTAGAGAACGTAGGGGCTCCTCCAAAGAACGTAGGACTTCTTCAAAAGAGCGCAGAGCCCCCTCCAAGGACCGCATGATCTTTGCGGCCACTTTCTGTGCTCCCAGGGGGGTGTCGGCTACTCGAGCACACCTGCCAACCACCTGGAAAGCCTTGCCTGCCACACCGGAGCCCTTTGCTGCTGCCTCAAGGGCCTTTCCATCTACCTCCCAGTTCCAGCCTGCCTTCCGGGGCCCGTCTACTGCCTCAGAGACCCCAAAGTCACTGCCATTTGCTCTGCAGGGTACATACGCGTGTGTGGAAGCCCTGCCTGCAGTCTCTTGGGTTTCGCAGCCCCATGTGACTGCCTCCAAGGCATCCCCGGCAGTGCCCACTCTCCTGATGGCCGCAGCAGCTGCTCCCCAGACGACGGCGACCGTCCAAGAGGCCACAAAGACGGCCGAGCCACCACGTCGTCCGTGCAAGGCCACCAGGAAGAAGAAGCACCTGGAGCCTGAGGTGGAGAGCACTGGCCAGGGGATGGCCTCTTGTGACTGGCAGGGTCTCAGGCCTTGGGAGAATCTCAGTCTGAGTGACTGGGATGTCCAAAGCCCAATCCAGGTTCTGGGGGAGTGGGAGTGCCCAAACACTCCCTGTAGCCTCAATGGCTGGGAGGGTCCAAATACCTCCCAGATCCTGAGTGGCTGGGAAGGGCCCAGCACATCTTGGGCCATGGGTCCCTCTGAAGGTCCGGGTGGCCCTCAGCCCTTCACTGCCCCCGAGGTTCCATGTCTCTCTCAGGGGTGCAGTGTTACCCGGGTGGACCCCATGTTGGAGACTCAGCTACTGTCTCCATTAGATGAGCGAGATGCATTGGTGCAGTTCCTCTTGGTCAAGGACCAAGCCAAGGTGCCCATCCAGCGCTCAGAGATGGTGAAAGTCATCATCCGAGAGTACAAACACGAGTGCTTAGAAATCATCCACCGTGCCAACAATAAGCTAGTGTGTGCCTTTGGCTACCACTTGAAGGGAGTGGACATAAAAACCCACTCCTATATCATAATCAACAAGCTGGTGTGCCCTCAAGGGGAAGCAGTGGCGTGCTACCTAGACAGGCCCAAGTTAGGCCTGCTGATGGTGGTCCTGAGCCTCATTTTCATGAAAGGCAATTGTGTTAGGGAGGATCTCATTTTTCATCTGCTTTTCAGGTTGGGGCTGGATGTCCGGGAGACCAATGGTCTCTTTGGAAACATGAGGAAGCTCATCACTGAAGTGTTTGTGAGGCACAAGTACCTCGAGTACAGGCGGATCCCTTGCACGGAGCCCGCAGAATATGAGTTCCTCTGGGGCCCCCGGGCATTCCTTGAAACCAGCAAGATGCTTATCCTGAGGTTTCTGGCCAAGCTACATAAAAAACAGCCTCAGTGCTGGCCTTTCCATTACCTCGAAGCACTGGCCGAGTGGGATCCTGAAGATACGGATGATGACGAGCCCGATGGCAGCGACAATGGCGATGAGCCCACCAGCAACCCCCCTCCGAGCTGATAGGTGTAGCTCTGGGGACCTGGCCAGCGGCCACTGACTGAGGGGGGCGGGGACACATTCTGTTTCAGGTGTTTACGTTCGAGTTGTGTGTGTGAAGTCTGAATTTCCTATTTGTTTCTGTTTTCAACCTGCCAAAGCCTTGTACATTTTCACGTGGTGTTGATTTCAAATGACTCCTGTGTTATTTGGTATTTTGACATCTGTATTTTTAAGTGAGATCTGTGATTCTCTGTTTCTGTGTTGTAATTGTTAGGGTTTTTCTTTTTCTTTTTCTTTTTTGTATCAGATTCGTGCTGGGTTTGTGAAATTTTTTGAGAAGTTATCCATCCCATTCTGATACTCACTAAGTAGCACTGCGTTTGGTTGTTCTTTGACTGTCAAATGAATCATCTGGAGAAAAGTAAATATCTATATCTATACATATAAATATTCTTGCAGCATAATGTGGGAGTGTTCGTCTTTATTATCATTTTTACTCCAGGTGGGTGGGAGCCAAGCTTACTCTTGCATATGAAAACACATAAACACCAAGACCACTCTCAGTGATAGTAAAACACTGAGGTGATCACACTGTTTACAGAGCGTGTGCTCCATTCATCCCTAGAAACACAGAGCAACCGTGACGGGTGGTCGAAGCAAGGTTCACATTCAAATCTACATAACACTTCACAGGTTAGTGACTCTGACGCTAGAATGGCTGCGTAGCGCCTCTGAAGTCATCCTTACAGTAATGCCTTACAGAAGTCATTACCATGATTTCCGTCATGTAGGTTGGAGCAATGGCGATACAGTCTAAGCACATTAACTTACAGTGGCCTGAGCCAAACCGGCAGAGTTGTGATCTGAGAAAGAATATTTCCTCAAGGGTACGTGGGGAAAAGAGAACCCTCTACCATAGAGACCACACATATCCAAGGTGGCTAGCCAGAAATCCGGGGACAAGAGGGAGATGGTGGGTAAGGAATGTCCAGTCATTCCTATTTGGGCCTCATCCACATGTTAATACGAGGATAGAAACATTCTCACAGAAAAATGTCCCCCCGTCCATGACAGGGGAAGGGGTTAACTAGGCTTCTGTGAACTGAGAACCCTCCTGGCTTATGCTTGGGCACTGGAAGCTTGTTCCTCAGAGTCATGGAGGTCTATAGGGAAGCTTCTGATGGGATCAGGGGCTAAATTCTGAAAAACAAGAGAAGAGGGGTCCATTCCAATGCTCAGATTAGCACAGTGGCTGTGTCTGGAGTTGCTAAACACCAACTCAGGCCTTGGGTAAAAGAACAAGAGGGGAGAAACAACGGAGTGTTTAAGAAAAATGTAAGAAAAATGGTCATACACGCAAGAGTGGGAGGGGGAACAGCTAGGCACAAACAAGGCTAGTGGACACAGAGGGGCTTCTTGGGGCCATCACTCTCCCTAATCCTGTTGGTGGGGAGCCCGGCATGCCACCTCTGTCTCACAGAAAAAACGAACCCCAACCACAACTCCATGCCCCACTCTCCAGATAAGCCTGACTTCCCAAGCAAGGGAAGTGATGGTGGAATTTTCCTGCCACCTTGTGGCAGGCCCCTGGTGCTGCCAAGGTGGCAGGTGCCCCTCCCACAGGGCTTAACTAACACTCCAACTATCCCAGTGCTGGCTGCTGTTTTCTTCATAAACTCTGGCTGTACTTTTGCCGATACCTGTACCTGTTGCTTCTCTGCTCTTACATCTAAGGCCACGAGGAAACCACTGCAGCGCTATTTGAGCCTCCCTCAGTCCTCGTCGCTCCTGTTTCTGCAGCATCAGGAAGCCCACGTGGCCAGGCCCTCTGGAACTTGGAGGAAGTGACTTGGTACCCCTTAGGTTAGAGCATCCTGCATGTCTGCCTGGGATGAACTCCAATTATTCTGACAATAAGAAGCGCCTATTCATAGCAACAGCCATGTCCAGCTGAGAATCTTCTTCCATAGAGAACACGAGGTCCAGCACACCTTGTTTGTCTTTAGCTTGTTTATGATTGCTTCCATTCTCCTCCCCAAACTGTTCATGCATAGGCTCATTCACCATGCTACTCTTTGTGAAAGGCATTGTGGGAAGCACCCCATGGGACACTGCGGGAAACAGCCTCCTGGGACACTGTGGGAAGCAGCCTCCTGGGACACTGTGGCAAGCAGCATCATGGGACACTGTGGCAAGCAGCCTCCTGGGACACTGTGGGAAGCAGCCTCCTGAGACACTGTGGGAAGCAGCCTCCTGGGACACTGTGGCAAGCAGCCTCCTGGGACACTGTGGCAAGCAGCCTCCTGGGACACTGTGGCAAGCAGCCCCATGGGACACTGTGGGAAGCAGCCTCCTGGGACACCGTCACAGCATTTCAGGTGAGGATGGCTCAGCTCCATGGTGGAAAGCCTGCGTTCTCACATACGATCCTCCATCATACTGCTACCATATCTGGAATGTATCACGTGCCCTCTTTATAGCAGTGCCGCTTCTATTATGTAGGCTAACAATAACAAAACATATGTTATGACTAATGACAAACTGTATTAGCTAAATACTTTTCATCCTAAGATCATGTAATATGAGAACAGGAGGTAAAAAAAACAAAAAACTTTAGGATAATCTTAGCCTAAGGCATTCCTCCTGAGACCCGCAGAGCAAAGGGCCACTTGCTTGTCAAAGCCACACCGAAAAGCAAACTTGGCAGTAAATAAGAGTTAATGATTGATCCTGACAGTGACTGGCAGGGAGGTTGATTTCCAGCTAAGGGTTCTGGGACTCTAACCTCAGCAACACACACTCCACTGGAAACGCCGCCCACGTCATCGATTTTTCCTCAGAGTGATGGGCACATGCACGGCTCGTCGTGTCTTCTCACCAATGGCCCTGTGACACTCTGGCGTTATTGCCAGAATGGATGTGAATCCTTCCTGCCCTCCCGCCTTGGGCTGTCCAACCTGAAACCCTGGGAAACTTGACCAACTGACACACTGTCAAATGACGCCAGCTGCGCTATCTTGTACAGCAGAGGTGCAGACCTCAAATGCTTCGGCCAGTGTTCAGCACCTGATGTGTCACAGGGGTCCCCGGAGCAACACGGGCCCTTCTTCAGCTCACCCTCCTCACGCTGAGGGTGAAGGAGCCCTGGGTTAGGAGTAGAGGAGCCTGAGTAGGCATTCACAAGTGAAGCAAGGGGTCCCTCTGCTGGCCGATTGGAAGAAGCGCGCAGATTCGGAAATGAAAACCTTGGCAGGACTCTGGTTTTTGGGTCCCCTGCCTGGAAGTAAGTGAATTGTTAGTATAGAAAGCCTGACTTCTCTGAAGACAACTTCTAGGAAAGACCCTAGAGTGGATTCATTGTTGGGGCCCAAACGATGTTTTCTTGTGGGCAGTCAAATCGTTTTAACTGTGGTGTTAACTGCCATGAAGGGATCACGCAACACTTCCAGCCCACTCGTCCAGTTCTCCGACCCTTTGAAACTCTTGCAATTATACCAGTCCCTGTCTGTTTAGTAGTTGATGCCCTGGGGCACCTCTGTGCTGCCAGTTTCTTCCTCTCTGGCTTACTGGCATGAATGATGCATCTGGCTGTGTTGGGTGAGATAACCTTTGCCCTGAAGAGAACTTGGCTCTGAAGGCAGGCAGGTCACCTCCAACTGAGACTGGCTTTCTGTGCTGTCACTCAGTCAGAGTGAATTCAGGTTTAGAAGTCCTGTACTGATGGTGTAGCCAGTTCAGCAACAGAACAGCACAGCAGTGTTGCCTGGGCCCTGCAGGCTCACCGGAGGATGCTCTGTGCGGGTTCCTTATCTCCGCCTGAGATCTGCTAATGCCGCTCTGCCCTTCACAGTCCCTTCTTCCTTTTCTCAACTCTGGCAGTCACTACTTTTTTCTCCTTGTCGGTAGCTTTGCCACATTGAGGTATGCAAATGGAGCCATCTGCCTTCTCACTCAACATAATACCCCAGACTTCCATTCGCATTTTGACATGTGTCAATGATTCACTCCTTTTTAAGACATGTCCTGCTCAACTGTTACCTGTGGAAAACAGTTTGGTTGCTTCTGGGGTTGAGATACTATGAATTTTCATATCTGGTAAATGTGTGAATTGTGTAGTTGTGGTATCAGGAAACAGGTGTACAGTCGCTTGCGTAAGGAACACACCACATCATTTCACAGAGCAGCCATAATATTTCAAATTCTCACCACAACTGTATGGGGAATTTCCCGCACTCTCACTAGCAATTGCTATAATCAATTTTATCAGAATCCTTGCAGTGTTTGGCTGAGAAGTGGACATCTTATTGTACATTCTCCTAATGTCTAGAAGTGTTGAACACCCTTTACCTTTATGATGTTCCTTTGTGTAACTGCAGGCCATCAGCTCAAAGGACCTCATGAGGGCCAAAGTCCAGAGATGGTCAAGTACAAGTGGGCACTTGGCAGGTGAACCAATACATACAATCTCTCTTGGTCTCTGCCATCCTCCAGCCCTCTCTTTCTTTCAAACAAATAAATCACATTTTTTTTAAAGAAATGGTAAAAATTCTACCATTTTCCACAGAAACCATAAAAGAGGGAACGATAATTCATTTAATGAAGCTATCATTTCACTAGTAAGAAAACACACAAAAACATTTCAGTAAAAGGAGACTGCAGTACAATACCTCAATGATTTTGAAACAAGTTTTGCAAATCAATTCCAGCAAAATGTGGAAAGTTTACAAAAATAGCCAAATGGCATTCCAGAAATGTAACACTAATTCAGTATTTTAAAGTATTGTATAAACATTAACAAACTAAAACATAGTCATGGCGACAGATGCACAAAATCTAACTCCCATTGGGTATGCCCACTCTCAAAATAATAGCAAAAGAAGGAATCTTCCTTAACACAATGATTTGCATGACAAATTTATAGTTAAAAAAAAAACCAAAAATGTAATTGTGGATCTGGCACAGAGCGCAGTGATTAAAGTCATGGCTTTACATGAGCTGGGATCCAAGCTGCCCCACCGCCC